CATCTGCAAACATCGTAGTCCAGGGAGCTATCTGTCCCACAGACAGTGTGAGCATTTCAAAGCTTGCTGGGTTGGAATCAGTCATGGCTGGTATCTGTGGGCTAAGAGGGCCACGCCCTCCCTCCTGGCATTTACAATAAAGATGTTAAAAAATAAAAATAAAAACTTAAAAATAACAACTTAAAAATAAATACATTTTAGAAATAATGTCACATTTTGTTAAATTTACAACAAAACTGGTGTCACACCCCCTGGGAAAAATCCCAGGGTCGTTCCAAAGGGCTAAATTCTGACAGCCCCATTCTGTTACTGTTCCGTCATGGTTCAGAAAGATTGACAGACGTCTTGCCACGCCCCACTTGGTTTGCGGCTCATTGGGGCTAATTTTGGTCAGTCCAGGGTCAGCTTGCGGTCACAGGATTCATCCAGTGAGAATGGACATACAATAACGTACCTCGAGCATGAGTGTATGTAGGCGTGGTTTGGTGTAGACTGAGTAGGCGCAATGGCGAGCAATATTAGCATAAACGATGTGGATTATTTAATCAATAACCCTTTTTCCTTAATGTCTATTGAGGAAAAACTGGAGGTGAAGAGGTTGGGGCAGGACAGACGAGGATATTCAAATCCAGCAAAGAGAAAACCGTGCTGTGTAACCGTGCTAAACTTGGCCGGACATTCATTCAGCTCGCTCCAAATAATATCAACCCGTCAGTTTGTTTTTATTCTTCTTATAGTTTATTCTGCATTGTGTTTAATGGTGACCAGAAGACGAGTGTTGAACTGAATGCTGTTTAATCTGCATAAAAACGTGGACTGGTCAGAATCTGGGCTCATCGCAGCGGCATAATTCCAACTTATGTGTGCAACGTTTCTGACTGTTTACGAAGTTTCTGAGTGTGAAAATGGGCTTTTCATGTTATTGTCCGGTTCTGGTTTGGTTTGGCATTCATGTTAAACTCTCTGTTATCGGCTGTAAACTGACACCACGAGTCCAGAGACTGTTTATGGTTGATATGAGGGGGACAAGAACTTTAAGGGTGATGATGTCACAGGGTTGCGCTTAGCTTTGCTTAGCCTTGCATAGCATAGCATCGCTCCGTGTAAATCATCATCATCTCCTGTATGCTTTTAGTGCAGAGAACTGTCTTTAAAAAATAGCAGACTTAATTTTACCAGATTAAAATGTAGCTGAAGCTAATTCCACTAAAGGTTTTCAAAGTAAGTGAAAATACTAATCCGCTAAATGGAAAGTTTGTTCACCCATTAGTAGAATTAACATGAACCATACCAACCATTTGGACATTTAAAGGGCAAGACAGGGAATATATTAAGTTGATTTTGGGTAATATTTTTGCTAAGTTAAAATTCAAAATATTTCATGTTTTTTGTGTACTCTCAAATTTATATATTCAGCAGTACGTTACGTTGCACAGTAATTTGTTTTGTAACACTGTTTTCCTTTGGAATGTCATGTTTATCATCCACATATAGGAATAAAAAGCTCAGCCATGCTTTTGTTCCAGGGGCTCAGTGTGATTATCTGTGCAACTTCTAACCTCATTTTTTAGAGAAGCAATTTGCACAGAACAAAATCTCAATATTCTCAGAAGTCTTTTTAAGATGCAGTTATCAGCATTCCAAGTGCACACAAAGTGTAAAAATGCAGATTTCTATGCAAGAACCCCCTCAGTGTTTGATATCAGTGCAGTCAGTCAGGTGGCTTTTATGCCTGAAACCAACCATCAGCTTCAAACTCATTCTGTGACTTTTTCTGTCCTGCAGAGAGAATTCCTGCTGCTCTTCTTCATCATTCCATCTCTTGTGCATCCGTCTCACTTTCCACCTTTTGCATTTTCTCCTTTTTCTTCATTTGTCCTTTCGCTCCAGCTTTATTTTAAACTTTCCTCACATCTATCACTCTCTTTATCTCTGTCTCCTTGCTCTTTATGTCTGTATTGATTTTGTGGCAGTGCACGCTCCATGCTTCTCGCCCTTTTTGATAGAGGGAGTAAAATGGAGTCTCAGTCTGCCAAATGAAATCAAAGTCTTTTTTTACCCCTTCCCTTTCTCTGTTCCCTTGCTCCACTGCAACAAGCACAAACTCCATCAGCTTTGAACTTGTGTGTGTGAAATGAGCTCCCTTTGCTCTGATTGTCAACCCATCTCTGTGCCCTTTCTCTTGTTCACTGCTCCCCATCCCTCTTCTTCCCCCTCACCTCCCAAGTTCACTTTAGTTTGATGCATTTGTTTGTGCTACTGCCAAATATAACATTATTCCAGAGGCAGTTTACTTTGAGGAGTGAATTATTTTCTTATTTGCTTGTTCTTGCATATTTATCAAATCTTTTATTCCTTCCTAATTTAGCATTGTAGAATGTCTTAGACTGACAGACTAACAAATAATGGATTTTACATTATGAAAAATTTAAAAACATGAATAACTTTCTAACAACATTAAGAAGAAGAAAATTCAATCTGATCCACTCTTTCTAATGTGGGTCATACTTGTATTAGAAGCTCAATGAACTTTTTCCCCATCCACTAACTTCTTCCTTTCATTTGGGAGATACCGAAGTGCTCCAGATCAGCCGGGAGACTTTCTGGCTACATAACACAATTACACTCAACAGATAAATCAGCAGCCTGGTCCTCCCCAAAAACATGTGGATGGTTTTTGCTTTCACATACCAGGAACAGTTAAAAGAAATCTTTGTTTTGCTGTTTAAAATGTGACATCCTGGGGTTTTAGTTATTATACCCATCTCATCAAAATAAATGACAACAACAAAGATGAACATCCACTGGAGCCAGAAGCTACAAATGAATTCTTCATGGCAGTTTTGTTTGGGGAATGGACACGAGTGAAAACATTTCTGCAGCATGTGATTCGGGGAATAAGGGACAAAATTAATCAGCTAAATTAAGGATGATGACACAGATTAAAAAAATAGAAAGTATCTTCTGGTGCCTCAATTTAAAACACTGCTTCAAGTATTTTAGCTGTTTGATTCAGCCCACTCAGGTTTTTGGCAATTGTGAGCCAGGTGTAATGAAAGTGCACTGGAACTGTAAAACAAAAGTCATTACAAGATTAACAAAAAATTGTTAACATAATAAAAATGATCAATAACCCTTTGCTTTATTTTTATCCACATTGTGTTGGATCAGAACTCACAATGAATACATTGTGATTGAAAAATGAATTTCATTGCGCTGGACTGAGCTTTGCTGCTCATGTGTCTTCGGTGAATTGAATCGTTGGCAGTGGGACAGATTGGCCACAGACCAGAGATGCACAACTCTAGTGAGCGTTGTAACCTTGGACGGTTGTGTGAGTTTAGGTCATGTGTGGTTGTTGCATTTCAAAGTAACAATCACAGCAATGCCAGAACCCAAAAATATGACAAAGAAGCTCCAAACTCTTGACTCCAGTCCAGGCAAACATCCTTGGGGAACGTCCAGTCTATGTCCTTCATTGCTGTCCTCTTTGTGAGACTACAGCATACACAGAGGTCAATGCCTTAACTGTCAGAGCTAAATTGGCAGCACAAATTGAACCTACTGTACTTGCTGCCGTACACATCACACCGCCGTGTAAGTCGCATCTGTCCAAATATGTCTAATAAAGTGGGAAAAGACATAAACGCATCACTTCTCTGTATATGATGCATCTATTATATGTCACCAGTGACGCGTCATGTTTGTTATGCGTCTCCACTGACAACCTGGAATTGTGGGCCGGTGTTGTGCCAAAAATCGATTGGCTGCCAAATGATGGCCGCGGGAGCATGCACGGGAGGACTTTAACAAGAATTTAACAAGATTAACACTTAAAAACAATTAAATGTTTGCTCGAAATTATAGCAAAGGTGTGTCTCAGTCCTTCTTTTCCTTAATAAATGCACTTTGACGGTCAAATCAGCTGCATTTCAAAAGCCGATTAGCGGCTGCGGGAGCACGCAGAGGGAGGATTTGCTGCGCATTTCTTCAAAATTTAACAAGATAATCACCTAAAAATAATTATTTGTTTGCTCGACATTATAGTAAAGGTGTGTCTTAGTTGAACTTTTCCTTAATAAATGCACTTTAATGGTCAAATCAGCTGCATTTCACCTGGGTGACGCGACGAAATGCAGCTGATTTAAGGTTTACTCCAGGAGTTCCAAGCAAGACGAAGGTGGCTGCTATGGCAAGCCAAGTGTCTCATTAATAGCCATTTTTACCTATTAATAAGACACTTGGCTTGCCATATTACTCGAGCGCCCTCTAGCAGCTGAAAAATGGTAGTGTTCAATATTTTCCATGTCAGAATGAATGAAATCGTCAGATCCCAGCCAAAAATGAGGTTATAAATATGGGAAAAAACATAAATAAGTCATTTAGGTGTAAATATTGCAGGGCATGCTAATTTATGCAAAAATGTGCAACTTATACAGTGAAAAGTACGGTACTCTTGTTCAACATATGGTTTTATCATTTGTGATTGATCTGTGTAATTATGCACTATGCCATGCCCTGTTGACTGGTATTCTGTCCTGTCAGAAGTTTTACCATTGTGGCTAATGAGTGCATAAAAACAGTTGACTTCATTGGTAAAACACTTCTTGTTTTTTTATTATTATTTTTTTTTTACCAACGCAGACCTTTTAATTTAGATATTTCAGCTGTCTGATTCACGTTAACTCAGGTCCCTAGAATTTAACTGTAAACTGTGTGTGGTGGCTTTTAACTCCAGATCATATTTTTTCTCTTCTAATAAGCCCAATAAATATCAATTTTCAGTCTTCTAGTGAAAAGTGAACTGTCCTGAGAGAGTTTAAATATAAATCTATAAGTCATTACCTTTTGCTGCCAGTTCAACTTGCAGAATTGTCCACTACAGCTAGAAGCATTAATCATCTTCTGTACAGATCACAAAGCTTGTATAATGATGCAAGAGAATATATTTTTAATCAAAGGCATTGCCCCCGCTTTGCGTTTCTTCTTTGTTTTTGCAGGGCGATGGTTTGCAACTGGAGTACGAGATGAAACTGACCAATGGCCAGTCTTTCTGGACACAGCATTTCTCTGCAGATGAGTTTGGTAAGAGCCATTAGACCGAATGAGAGGGATTATAGAACGAATCGCCAATGGCACAAGCCAACACCACTTAGCACGGCCAATAAAGCCCACTGCACTGAACAAATTGCAATAATGAACAAACGGCTGAATGAATTAATGATGATGGATGAACGGGGAAAGCGAGATGAAAAGAAGATGCTCATGTATCTTCTAAATGAATTATTCTAACGTCTTCAATGGCCCTCTCGATCACTCACACTCTGCTTGTACTGTAACTACATCTCTCTGTTCCTAAACTAATCAATTTGTCTTCATTATCATATTTTTTAATTCTCATCATAATATACCTCTTCTTCTACTCGTAACTTTTGTTCACAGGAATCTTGGAGACAGACATCACGTTCCTGGTTATCTTCTTCTTGGTGTTCCTCCTGTCCTGTTACTTTGCCTGTAAGTACCACATTTTCTACTTACCGGTAGTCACTCTCCTTCCCTTCAAGACCATCTATTCAGATGTTCAAAGCTCACAGCAGTCATTTAATGGACTTTTTAAACCCCAATGCTAAAATCTACATGCTTTCTTGATGGGATAGGAGTAAGTTCTCATGTTTTTATTTTTATGTGAAGACTGCTGTAGTTCATTCTTGTGCTAAGAGTTTGTCACGGTTGAGCCCACGTGACATAAAAGCAGGAGGAAAATGGTCAAAGTAGGGCT